GTTTGGCTGTATAGAAATATAGAAGAATATTTCTCTAGTTGTTACTGATTGCATGATATGTTTTAAGTAGACTTCCGTAAAATTATAGTGCTGTACTTCGCCCATGACACTGAATTTGGAATCCGGGAAAACTGAACTCTGGAATCTGAGTTAATGCAATCTGGTTTTGATAAAAAGAAGGAATCTGGAATCCTTTCCAAAATGCATCACAGAATCCAGAATCCAGGAGTTTGGAATTTGGAATCCAACAACGTAACTGCTTCTTTGTCATGGGTCAAAGTGCTAAGGGGCAAACCATTAGAAAACTCCCCAGGGGGATTCCTGTACAGGATTTCCTTTTCCTGGGGCTAATGTCTTCAAGATTTCTTTCCTTTACAAATATTCAATAAATACTTTTTGGACCTGAACATATAATGCAGAATTGTTCTTTCAGCTAATTTTCTGTGCAGGTTTTTTTTATTTTGGTAAATTTCATCATAGTTAACTATGATTTCACCCTTCATCCTTTTCTAATGGTCAACTCCTAAGGTGTATTTTAGGATCTCAGTTCTCATAAACCCATGAAACAATAACAATATTTACTGATTGATTGTCTAATGAACACAAAAACTTACTTTAGTAATAATTGTTTCACAGGTTTTAAACTATTYGATAATTTTTAGGATGAATTGAAAAGCTGAATTACTCTCATCTTCTCAAATATTGTATTTTATGTTGTGAATATTCAATTAGTTTCTAGCACAAACTCATTTCATTAAATAATGATTGCATTCAGTTTCCTTGCTTAGCTGGTGTTGTATTGACAGGCTSTTGACGCTGCCGTTGCATTAAAGTCATGAGTCTTCTTCCTAAGTTAGCATTGTGTTGCTGTAAGTATCGTATCATGTCTGCTTGCTTCTCTAGAACATCATCTAGATATTCACCATCCCTATGAATACAAGAAATCATGAGTMCCAAGCTGTCTGTATATTTTTGTCTGCTTTCTTGTAAAGCTTGCATGACTTGTTGATATAATTAACTTTTCTCAAATCTCTTCATGTATTGTGATTTTTTCTTTTCCRTTTCTTTGATTTGTCTTGTTTCAATGGCTTGTATGTTGTTGTTTTTCAACAATAACTTTAAAACTTTTTCTCTAAGTCATTTATTAGTTTTATCAAAATATATTAAGTTATAAAACTTTGTGGCCTGATGTAATTCCATACCTGAATCCTGTTTCTGAGACAGACTGTGAAATAGCTGATGTTGCAGWAAAGCCATTTAGAAACTCTGAGTCTTCTGCATCAGGATGGGGTTTGGTGCGATTAAACTTAATTACTATAGCTGCAAAATTAGCAAAACAAAGTTGAGTCAGGAAAGGGAAAGAAATACACAATAGCACTTAGAAAGATAAATATACTTGTGCCATATAGGCAAATTTTAACATAACATTGCTATAAATATACAATATCAWGCACTTACCTAAATACCAGATAATTCCTGGAACAATTACTAGCATTTCCAGTACAAATACAATTTGAAGGATATTTATCAACTTCAGTCCAGACCAATCATTGCTGTGTCCAAGAACTGCTGTAATGACCAGTAACACAGCATTGCCTGGAAACACATATCAATCATTTACCTACACATAGAGCGGATTTTGTATGACTGTGCAAAAAAACACGGTACGTTTGTGCTGTGTCCGTACCATGCCGTAGCCGTGATGCATTGGAAAATCTTTACTTTCATTTGAAATCCTAGAAGGCGAGGTTCCGTGACCGTGCCATGCTTTGTATGTGTTGTGATCCGTGCTTTTGCACAGTCATAAGAAATCCATTCTAATTGCTTAAGAGACAGTGAAACAACACATTCCTCTCTTATCTTTTCATTTAATTCCCTGTCAGAAGTCTCTCTTATTATGATTAAGCAAAGACAAATGAGGKAAATCTCTGCTAGTGCAAGTAGAAAGCTATGCATTATCAGTTACTAGAA